TTGAGACCAGCCTGGCCAACATGGTGAAACCCTGTCACTACTAAAAATTAACCGGGTGTGGTGGCGGGCACTTGTAGTCCCACCTACTTCGGAGGCTGAGGCAGGAGAATTGCTTGAACCCGGGAGGCGGAGGTTGCAGTGAGACGAGATCACGCCATTGCCCTCCAGTCTGTCTGACAAGAGTGAAATTCCATCTCAAAAAAACAGAAACAAAAACAAAACAAGTAAATTGTCTTAAGCTGCATCATCATCATCATCCACTGCAGCATAAATGGCTTGATTCCTCCTCTTAATTTTTTTTCTTTGTTCAGGTTCGTGTTCATCACTCAGCCTCTTCAATGGCACCTTGGTTAAGTCCTCTCCATTCCCTGATTCCACAGTCCCACCAGGTTTCCCCTCTCTATCAACTGTGGAATCCACCGTATCATCAGAAGACACAATCATAGAGCCTGGCAAGATCCTGACATCAGAGAAACTTGCAGAAAACTCAGAAGCCTGATCAGAAGGTTCTACAGATGGTGTATTCATGTCACTATGTGCACTTACAATACTATCTTCATCTTCTTCTTCTTCATCTAACATTATTTCATCTGGATTAATAGAAGACAGAGCAGATGTGTCTGTATTATATTCACTCCGGTCTTCTCCAGAGTCATTACTCTCCACATCATCCTGTTCTTCATATTCACCACACACATGATGTTCTTCCTTGGACTTCTGAAGCCTAACATTGATGTCTGTGATGCCAAGTTGGGCACAAAATTCAGTAGTCTGAGGATTGATCCTATGAATCAGCTGCATTTGTGTCTGTGGCTTGCTAGGATCATAACAAGCAGCTGTTACACTAAAGTTACACGGAACCTTGAGGTCATGATTCAATTTTTCCAACACTTCTTTCATACCTTCTTCTGTTGCACTATAATCCCACCTATAAAAGTACAAAACAATAGCTTTTTACATTTTATTAGCTCTAAACAATAAATGATGAAGTCTAATTCTAGACTTCAGGTGCAAGGATAAAAAACAAGCCATCTATCAAAATTCCATTTTTAAAGTTACAGTTAATTTAGCAAAGGACCATTTAGAAACAAAAATAATTCTTAGAAAAAGCCATCTTTAACTCATACTCCAAAACAATTTTAATGTGTGGACTATATCTTTACCATATTATAGTTTTATGTACACTTATTCACTTATAAATTTATTTGAGGTAATGCTCAACAGTCCATTTTCCTGTCTCTTTTAGATGGAAAACCTGCAAACTGAATTGTTCTGATACTCATTCAACAATAATTCCCTTGATTAAAAACAACGGTGGAGGTTGATACAGCGGCTCACACCTGTAATCCCAGTACTTTGGGAGGCCAAGGGAAGTGGATTGCTT